GGGAAAGAGAAGTTAGTGCACTAGAGATTGTATGGTGTTGAAATTATGCACATGAAAAAAACATTATTAATGGTATTGCTGAACACATAATGGAAGAAAACAGTGTTTTTAAAAACACCTGCCGCCACATAATGCTTGACCAAGAATCACCAGGGCATCTGATCCCAAAGCTAGTTATGCCTCCCTCAAAGAAAAAAAAAAGAATAAAAAAGCTTAGTTCTTCAAAAATAACCTACCATTTCAGAAAACTTAAGTGTTTAATGAGAGTACTTATTCCTTACGAGTGAGAAATTTTCTAAGCATCAAGGAAGACTTGTTGATAAGCTTTCAGGATACATTTTTGCACATCACTGTGTTTACCCTCACTTAGCAGCTAGACTATTGTACATAAGATAAGCTTTCTGTGAGAAGGTGGTCTGCATTCTGGTTTTGATATTTTTTAATAAAAAAAAAACATGGAGAATACAAAGCTTCCTTGTTCTTAATAAAAAGTTATACTACTAGACTAAAACACTCCTGAGATAATAGACTAGGAAAAGTGAATGCATTTGAAGGTATTTATTGGGTTAGCAAAGTTAGACCAGAGATATAGTACAGGGGTTAACGCACTTATCTTGCATGAGACTGACCCCAGATCAATCCTTAGCATTGCATCATCTGGTCCCTCAATATACTGCTGAAGGTCATTCCTGAACATAGTACCAGAAATCGCCCCTGAACACTGCTTGGTTTAGCTCAGACCTCCCCTCCCCTCCCCCCCCCCTTGCATGCACACACACACACACACACATATACACACACATATACTCACACTCACACACACAATTAAAACCAGCATATATAAAAGTAACCCCCTCAGAGCCATCCTTAAGACAAGAATTAAGGTTGTTTCCTTCTGAAACCAATTAAAAACAGTCGAAGAGCATTTGAAATAATACATACTCTAAGTATATCTGTATTTCTTCCAATCTCTTTAAGAGTTAGGCTGGGTTTCTATTACTGTTTATTGAATGTTGTGCATTATTTTAACAAAACATTTTTAGTAAAATAAATCAGACACCATGATTTTCTACCCTGGTCCCAAATAAGAGTTCTATGTTCAGGTAGGAAAGTGAAAAGGAAAGAGAGAGATACCTTAATTCTAGTTAACCCAAAAGAGATGTTAAGCTTTGGTCAACAGCAGAAATCTCTAAACCAGAATACCCAAGCAAAAATTCTAGATTCAAAGCTACTTTCCTCCTGCAATAGATTATTAATTATATGAAAGAGACTGAACAAGTAAAGAAGGTGTAAACCTCATGGTTGTCTTGGGTGAAGATTTCTCTGGACTTTTCATCCCCATGGTGCAAACTTGATGATAATGCTATGTATTTGCATGACAGCCCTCCAATGACAACTAGAATTGCAGGCTTAATACTGTGACAAGTATAGTGGACCTCTAATGATCTGTCCAAGAATTTTCAACCATATTAAACAAAAGGGGAAAAAAAGCCTGGAGACTAATTATCTGACCTAGAAAAAGGGTGAACCATTTTCTCTAAAACATAAAGACACATATTTTAAAATTATAAAAGAAATTGGAAAGAGTATGGACAACCACATCACCATGCTTTCCCTTTCAAGGACAATTCTATACATCAATAATCCACAGGAGAAATTATGAAGAAATTGAAAACACACTAAAAACAGGGATTATGTTGTGCAAAGTTGTCAGGGTTTTCCCTTGACTTTCATAGTTTTCCAAATAATTAAGTAGCATATAACTAGTTGAAAATGCTTAGTAAAATAACCTGTGGACCTGTGAAGTGATCGAATCAATGACTGAATGCATAATTAAAAGAATGAATTGATCACTTCACAAACATATTTCCCAAGCTTTAGCCACAGATATCAAGTCCCTCAGTCCACCAGCTATTTATAAAATCTCTTGCTGTCTGTTTAACCCAAACATGACCAAGTAATGGTTATATACATTGCCATAAGGTATCACCAGTCATTTCTTAAGCCCTTAGTATCTGCCTGTTACTAGAACTAGTGACATAAATCTCCTCTTATCTTCTACATTGCTAAATTCAAAGCATTTTCTATTTCTCAGTACACATCTGCCTTGTGGAAGCAATCAATCACATGGAACACAGCTTCTCAAGTCCCCAAATTTGAATAAAAGTGGTCATTTTACAAGATATGATTGAAATGTGTTTGGAATATGACCTTATTTGGAGGTAACTCACTTTAGTATCCATCTGAGTCTCTGTTCTTAAATTAGAAAATGATAGATCTCCACTGTTTTATGAGATAACCTCCTCTGTACCTTTGACACCAGTCGTCAGAGTTCTGGTCCATTATTCTTGCTCAGACACTGTTATGGTAGCACATAGGTTTCTCCTCTAATCTTACCCAGAGAGAAAGTTAAGCAAAAAAGACCTTGTATTTATTTATTTATTTATTTATTTATTTTAAAATTTTTTATTAGTGAAACACCATGAGGTACAGTTGTAGACTTGCAAATTTTTGTGCTTAGGTTTCAGTTACACAATGATCGAGTACCCATCCCTCCACCTGTGCCCATTTTCCACCATCACTGATCCCAGTCTCCCCCCACTCCATCCCCCCCCATCCCACCCTGCCTCCGTGGCAGGGCATACCCTTTTGTTCTCTCTCTCCTTTTGGGTGTTGTGGTTTGCAGAAGAGGCATTGAGTGGCAATCATGTTCGGTATATAGTTTATTTTCAGCATGCATCTCCCATCCTGGGAGGATCCTCCCCGCACCTTTTATTTGGTGCTCCTTTCTCTATTTGAGCTGCCTTTTCCCCTAGCATGTGCGGCTAGCCTACAAGCCTTGGAGTAAACCTCCTGGTAATTATCTTGACTATTCTTGGGTGTTAGTCTCCTATTTTGTTTCTTTATGTTCCCCAGATGAATGCAATCTTTCTATGTCTGTCCCTCTCTTTCTGACTCATTTCACTTAGCATGATACTTTCCATGTGGTACCACTTGTATATAAATTTCATGACTTCATCTTTTCTAACAGCTACATAGTACTCCATTGTGTAGATGTACCAAAGTTTCTTTTACCAGTCATCTGTTCTCAGGCACTCAGTTTTTTTTCCAGACTCTGGCTATTGTAAACAGTGCTGCAATGAACGAACAAATGCAGATGTCACTTCGACTATACTTTTTTGCCTCTCTGGAATATATTCCCAGGAGAGTTATTGCTGTGTCAAGTGGGAGCTCAATTTCTAATTTTTTGAGAATCGTCCATACCGTTTTCCAAAAGGGCTGAACCATTTGGCATTCCCACCAGCGATGAAGGAGTGTCCCTTAATCATCAGGGAGATGCAGATCAAAACAACAATGCGATATCATTTCACACCACAGAGACTGGCCCACATACAAAAGAACAAAAGACCTTGTACTTAAAGCCTACAAAATAAATAGATATACATGTGTACCGCTCAGGGACTCCACAGGGAGGGGACAGAATGCTGAACACGGTCACCTCATCTCAGGTTCTCATGATGCTTGATAATACAGCTAGCATCCATTTTGCATCTCTTAACTCTGACAGACTTTATAAGGTTGGGAAAAAGAAGTCACTTTGCTTACTTATGGTCAACTGTTAGTTCAGCTTTGTTGCTCAACCATTCATTTGGAACTCAAAAAACTAGAGTTGTTACATTTTTTGCTTCCTAAATTGTCATAGTTGCCTGCTCAGTATGAGTGCATATCTGAATACATTAATAAATTTCTCTGAAACTAAAGTGTTTCATTATAAGGGGTTTTCCCAATGGATGAGAATTGGCCTTCAGAAAACTTATACCAGATTTGTTAAATCAATAGTACATGAGTCCGTTTATATTTATATTCTTATCAAAATACCTCATCATAATGTGTGTTATTTTTAATTAAAAATGAAATATTTTCTTTTTTATTAATTAGGGATCTTAAAGAACCTATGAATAAAATCAGATAGCCCTGTAAAAGATTATAGGAAAGTGTCTGTCATAGAGATAGGCAGGAGGGAGCTTTGGGGGAGGGAAACTGAGGATATTGGTAGTGGGAAATGTACACTGGTGGAGGGGTGGTTGTTGGAACACTGTATGACTGAAACCCAATCATGATCAGCTTTGTAACTATCTCAAGGTGACTCAAAAATAATAAAATTAAAAATAAATTTTAAAAAATAATCCTTTTAACCTGAATTTCACATTTGTAAAAAGTTTTGTTTATAATGAAACTGTTTATGGATCCTGTTTTGCTTTTAGTATATCACTCAGTCTGCTTTAGGCATTTTTGACTCTTTTCTGTTTGTTTTTTCTTGTGGAGGCATGTCTTGTGGTATTTTGGGAGTACTCCTGGCTCTGTGCTCAAGGGTTGCTCCAAGCTGTGCCTAGGAGCACATTTATTGCTGGATATTACTTGGGACTCCAGCATGCAAAGTATGTACTCCAGTCTTTGAGCTGTCTTCCCCTTCCAGTCATTGTAGAGTCCTTTTGGGGAGAAGTAGGGTTGAGGCCACTCTCAGTGGTATTCAGAGTTTATTCCTTGCTTTGTTCTTAGCAACCAACCACTCCTGGGAATCATATGCAGTGCCCAGGATTGAAATAGGGTTGGCTTCCATGTAGAGTGATTGTTTTAATTGCTTTACTATCAGTATGCCTCCCTCATTAAAAAATAAAAAATCAGATAATAGAGAAAAGTGTCCCTATCCCATTCCCCACCTCACCCCCAATTTTCCTTAACTAGCAAATTTACTTTGTGTATGAAATTTAGGAGTCCAATTCCAAATGTCACTGTCATCATTTTGATTCTTATTGATGTTTACCTTCCTAACTTACTCCCTTCAGCCTACCCTAAACCATTGATAGATCAACTATAACACAATAAGCAATGAAGATAACATGGATAAATTCTAATTTCCATGCAGTCCTGAAACCTCAAACTTTGGGAATCTGAATATGATATCATTTCATATGTACATGGAAATTCTGCCTTTACAGAGTGTGGAAGGAGAGCACCATGAAAAAGCTGTGGAGCTGCTCAAAGCTGCTAAGGACAGCGTCAAGCTGGTCGTACGATATACCCCAAAAGTTCTGGAAGAAATGGAGGCTCGCTTTGAAAAACTCCGGACAGCCCGGCGTCGGCAGCAGCAGCAACTGTTAATTCAGCAGCAGCAACAGCAGCAGCAACAACAGACACAGCAAAACCACATGTCATAGGTGAGAAATACCATCTAAATATATATATATATATATACATATGTATATATATAGAGAGAAAGAATTCCTAATAGACAACTATAATTTGTAAAAAAAATTAAAATGCTCAATCATCCCAAAATGTTTGTGAACAATGTAGTTGCTTACTTTCTGTGTCAGTCACTCACATTTCCTACAAATGTGAGATATTTTGGAAATAATATGCCCTGTAGGATTCAGGTACTTTCACCTAAAGAGAAACGTTAAATATAAAGAAAACTCTGTCCAAATCTAGATCCCCAGCCACATAGCTGATGACCACATAGTGTGACATTCATCCGCCATTCCCTGCTTTGGCTACTTGTCTTTGCACAGCAGAGTAGCTAGAGTGTCGAGTGCTGCTCCTCAGATTCTTGGAAGCCTCCCCTTGAGAATAGAATCTGCTGTAAAAATTTTCCTAGGTGAAGGATGATGCAAAGGGCTGACAGTGTCCAACCTCTGGGAGATTTTGAAAATTTCTTTGAACAATCAAATATAGTTTTTTGATTGTGTACTTTAAAAATATTTTTGAATTTCAAAGCATCTTCCTTTTCTGAAGTGCATTTTATGACTTAGAATTACTAGAATGACTTCTACTTAATATATTGTTAAGAAGATATGAGAGAATTATAATAGTCACCATCAGCTGAACTCGCTGTGTGCTAGTCATGTATTATCCTCACTCTTCAAAAAAAAAAAAAACATTCAAGCAAGTAGCCTGAAAGTCTCTCTCTCTTCTCTTTTGATTGTACCGCCTTACTGTATCAGATATTTTGCTTATCAACATCAGATATTCTTGAATTATAAATTTTCTTCACTTTGGTAGAAACTGTATCTTTTAGTAACTTCAATGTCTAAAACATGTATTTAAATTATATTCAAATGTTCTTGGGGAAAATAATGGGAAATGTTTTGAAGTCATTCAATATCAGATTACAATTTACACTGGATAGGACTTGAGACTTTCGAGAGAGAGAGAATGAGAAACAGAGAGAAAGGAAAGCAGAGAGGAGGGAGAGATGAAAGAGAGAAGAGAGGAGAGAGAAAAGAGCAGAGAGGAGAGGGAGAAAGAGAAGATGGAGAGAAGAGAGGAGAGAGAGATAGAGAGACAGAGAGAAAGAGAGAGAGAGGAGAGAGGGAGAGGTTCCTAGAAAGGACTACCTGGAAAAGTAAAAAGTTTGGGATTCAACAACCTTAGATAGTCCTGAGAATTGAACAGTACGTTTCCTTCTTTTACAGTTTGCCAGTTTTGTCATATATATATGGTTTTATTATATATGTGGTTTTATTATATATATGGTTTTGTTTTTTATATATAATAGCTTTTTCTTTATCAAAAATGTTTTCTATTATAAAAGGTAGGTTTATTGAGCAAAAATCTGACACTGCATGGGCCAGAGACTGTTCATTGAGTAGTAGAAACAGCAAAAGCAAAGCGAAGTATTCTCATAGTGCTTACATTCTAATTGGTGGGGACAGTCCAGGACTTTGCAGAATTAAGATAAGTTGCTTTGATGGAGACAGACTAGGTGAAAAACTAAAATTAGGCAATCAGGGAAGGATTCTCAAGGGAACTAACATTTAAGCTGAGACTGGATGACAAGAAAACAAAATGAGCATAAAAGAAGAAAACTGATGATTCATTAGCTCTAAGGCAGGCATGAGCTATGTGTTATTGAACAGAGAGAAACTGGGTATTTAGGGGAGAATGAGAAAAGTGAAATAGATGGAGGTTGGATGACGCTTCTGTAAACCACTGAAAGATTGCTTAGAAACAATGGGAATTTTTTGTGTTCTTTTTTTTAAGCTATATTCTTTAGATCATTTCATTTTAAATTTTTTAAAAATTAAGGTTTTTATGTTTTACAGTACAATTAGTGATGGTTTTTATGCACATAATTCCCACACTGCTTCCATCACCAGTATACCCACCTCAACAATGGGATTTTTTTAAGCAAGGGAATAGCGTGATCTGATTTATGTTTAAAAAAACGAAGACTACTCTGAATTCTCTGGGATGAATAGAAGCTTGTAGAGTAAGAATATAAACAGACCAATTACGAGGCTCATAGATGGCAAGAAAAAATGTGACTTGTGCTAGAATGATATATTTGAAATGTAGTGAGAAGAATGTATATAGATAAACCAATTTCACTCATATGCTTTTTTCCTTATCCATTCCTAATATACTTCACATCTGCACTTTCACAATCCTCTTCACAATTTTTAAAGACCCTTTTGTTAAAAAATAATCTATTCTCCTTTAAAGTAAACAGTGATGCTCTTTCCACTATTTTTTTTTTCATCCTCAATGTTTGAGACTAGTAGCAGCTCTCCTTATTGATTTACGACATTAGTCCGTAGGAAGTTGCTCTGAAGTACTTTGAAAGCTATATGCTGTGATTCAGACTTATTGAGTCTTATTAAAAGCTTCTACTATAATGCTTGTCATTAAAATCTAGAAATTTACATCCTGGTAATTAATATTTGTTAGGCCATGTACTCACTTCCATTTATCTGTTCCTTCTTTATTAAATCGCCTTAAAATTTTTATTTTGTTCCATAATCAAATCCTAAGATTTTTAATTAAAAGCAATATATTATTTTGCACAGGTTATGATAGAGTTCTATTTACTGAACATCATATATTTTTGTGCCTGACTCTGTAGAGTATTTGTAATTCATGCTGGTATGGCCCACAGAGATGGAATCCTAGTAACTGTGTCAAGTGTAAATAGAGCCCAGTCATGTTATTCATGGATCTTATAATGAATTCAGTCAAAGATACCTAAATTATCTCACAATCGACTTTTAATTCAATTTTAAAGGATTAAATAGAATTTTTTACACTTTCTAATTCATACTGTGGTTGCTTTTGTTTTGAGATTTGTAAGAAATTTGACTTTTTTATTTTCAACAGATATCTGATTGGTTTTTAAGGTTTACCTAGTCAACAAAGAGTGGATAGAGCCAAATTTGTGCCAGATATCTTACTGTTTATTATAATAAATACAATGTATGTTTTCTAAATAAGAATTTTTTTTATTCGATACACTGTGAAGAAACTAGCAATGTTAAATGGTGAATCTATGTGGAAAATAAATTGCATGCAATAGTGTATAGAGAATGTCTCCTAGGCCATTTTTTAACATTAAATTCTCCTAAAATAAAACTCAATTGTTACTTCCATTAATGTCCTTATTTGATAATCAGGAGATGTAGATTCTATTTCTGAAATATAGATCCATCACACAATTATATAGCAAACATCTAAATAGAGACTATGGGTAGAGATTTTATCATTCGCCCATTTTGTGACGTAGAGTACTACATTTGTGAGAGGCGAGATCTACCAAGTGTTGTTAGAAGGCCTGATGTCCCCTCTAGGTGACTCTCAGCTAACTTGTCTGTGAATCAGTGTGAATACCCAAGGATGCGATGCTGCTCAGAGCCCAAGGTGCTAGGGATGACCTGGGTTACTAGGGTGACACAGGTCATCCCTAGAAACGTTCAGAGATCTCTGGGGGTACAGTCAGTAAAGACACCTCCTTTGCAAGATTGATTTCCTTGTATCCATATTTCACATATATATCTAAAGAGTACAAACAGTAAGAGGAATCTTTCTGGAAATGTCAAGATCCTGAGAAAGTCCAGACCAAATCCATGTTTAATTTCTGTGACTTTCTACTTCTGAAACTCACTGGAGAATTCATTACCTTTGAAACAAGGCTTGATCTTAACAGATTTATAAAGATGCTGGCATTTGCCAGTGGCATTGCTAACTTGTTTTTCCTGAGTTCACTTCAGGCCCCTATTTCCGTATTTTTTGCCTGTAACTGTTCTCTTCCTCCCAACTGTCAGTTCTGCTGTCCAAGTTCTTATGATCTGATCAAGGCAACCACTGACTGTGCTGCCAGCCTCGTCACTGGGAAGAGCAGGTCCCAGAAGATAATTTTGATTAAATTGGATCCTAGTCATCGAGCAGAAAAATGGACCATAAAAAGAATCATAATACTAAGCTAGATAATATTTATTAAGCAATTTAGGTATGCTAAGAACTTATCTTAATACCTCCAATTCATATTTCAATTTTTCATAATAACTCTGAGCTTTAATACTACTGTTTTAAATATTTTAAAGAATGAAACCAACATATAGAATTTTTTTAATCATCATATTTCATAACCCAAGATCAAATCCAGAAACATGGAATTAAACCTGTTTTCTCTTAGGTACTTTGCTGCTGCTCTCTCTGCAGGGAATGCCCTTGCTGATGGTCAGTCCTCATCGACACATTCCATGAGCTTTCTAGATATTTATTGTCATACTGCTTAAAATTGGAGCTACAAAATTCACCCTCACTACTAGTCACCCTAAACCTTCAGAGCTATACCACATACTTCAGAGTACTTCAGAGTATAGCTATTTGGTTTTTATTACTATCCTTAAAAATTGCACCAAATTTAGTAATTTAAAAGAACACAGATCTATTTTACTATAATTCTATAGGTCTGAAATCTACTACAGTCTTACTGAGCAATGGAAAAATGTATCTCCTTCTCTTTTTCAAGTTCTCAAGAATACCCACACTCCTTCCCTTGGGTTCCCTTTGGGTTCCTCTGTCCATCTTCAAATCTTCCCTGTGTTCCTATCATCACATCCCCTACCCTGACTCTTCTCTTTTCCTCTTCCATTTTTATTTACATAATTGAGGTAATTCAGGAGACTATCTAAAGTACAACCTTATAGCACGTTTGCTCTTTCTGCAACTTTTACCCTAAAATAAAACATTTTCACAAGTTCTACAGTTTAGAAGTAGAGATATTTTGAGTACTGTTATTCTGTTTACCCCAGGGGGTTATTTAAAACTTTCAATGTTATTTAACAAAATTTATAGTATTATAGAAAAGAGGTTTTTATGTAAGAATAAAATAATTATAATTTTTTTTGTGTTAAATCATGATGGGCTGGAGCGATAGCACAGCGGGTAGGGCGTTTGCCTTGAACACGGCTGACCCGGCGGACCTGAGTTTGATTCCTCCAACCCCTCTCAAAGAACCTGGCAAGCTACTGAGAGTATGCCACCCCCGTGGCAGAGCCTGGCAAGCTACCCGTGGTGTATTTGATATGCCAAAAACAGTAACAACAAGTCTCACAATGGAGACATTACTGGGCCCGCTCAAGTAAATTGATGAACAATGGGAGGAAAGTGCTACAATGCAGTGCTAAATCATGATATTGAGGGTAAATGGTAACATTTTTATTAACGAGAAAGTGAGGTGCAGGTGATACTTCCAAAATTAGTATTTCAATGAAATACTGAGCACCTCGGCTGCTCGGTGTTCATTCAGCTTTGGGCATATTCTTAGATGCCTACTAAGATATACCTATTCTAAATCATACTCATTTGGTACCTGAAAATATATGACAAATTAACTTGTCAAAAGCTCAGTCTCTAAATCTGTCACTTGGTAACTAAGTGACCTTTAGGAGGTTATTCAATATAATAAGACTCAGTAAAAATGGTCCAGTATGTTATGGAAATTAAATAAGAATATGCAAATATCTTAACAAAATTTATGGCAAGTTGTGGATCTTCAATAAATTTTAACTACTAGTAATAGAAGTGGTAGTAATAGTAGCAGCAGCAATAGTTATACTGGCTGTGTTGCCGTAGTAAAATGTTATGGCAGATCATGCTTTTCATGTAATGTCTTGTCATATGACTAGTGATGAAGTATGATGGCTCATTCAAGCCCCTCTGGTCTTCTCAATGTTCTGCAGGCTTCTTAGCACATGTCTACGGGGAACCTAAAAAAAAGTATTAATGCAGAGAAGATAGTAGACAAGCATCCTCCCTTTTCATGTTAACCAGAATAATTTGATGAAGGCTATGGTTTATATAGTATATAAACTCTTCATCTCTAAAAACAAATGGAAAACCACCTTTCTCTCTAAAACAAGTGGTTCCATATTGCTCTATTAGGGGGCGGGTAAGAATGAGAGGCTCTTGCCCCGTCTACTCTGTGGGCAGTGGCCTGCTGTGCTCTACTCATAAAGATGACCTTATGCCAAGTGATCTGGCCAAATCTGTTCTTCAGAGGATATTGGTGCTTGTAGCCTGTCAAAGAGAGGTTTTTGCTGATATGTGTCTCAACGTTCTTGTTACGAATTATCCTGAGTCATAATGTAAAAGTATTTCTTCACGAAGAAAAATAGTCATCTGAGACTTGGAGGAAGAAGTGTTTTACATTTGAAATGTTTCCAAACTAGTATTCTTTATTTCATTTGGGGAAATAGCTATCTTTCTCATCCTCATTTAATAATTACTTCCTTTGCAAACATCCAACATTTTTTTCCAATGCGGAAGATTATGCATGAATGATGTGCCTAAAATAACCCTTGCTATTCTCCCATAGCACATGCTCTTTTGATATTTTTAGCATATTGTCGTTGACAAATGAATCCTAATCGCTGATTTTTCTTTACTCTCTTCCCTTGCAGATCTTGCAAGAATAGCAACTTGACCAAACATCTGAAAGTCACAAATTTGGAACCGTGCTTCAGAATCCCAGCACATAGTAAAAGAAAAAAGGAGACACACTGATAATTATACCTGTCAAAAAGCTGGGAACACGTGACCACGTGGTGTATAAATTCTTTTCCAAGGCAACTCGACATCTTTTTCTGAGGCTGACACCCACTACTCACATGTTCTTTATATACCCAGACCTTTCATTCACAGCAGGGGGAAATCTCACGTGGAAAGGGAGAGATTTTTCCAGTCTGCACACTGAAACCATACAAAAAGAATAAAGTCTGTGACTTCCAAATGAAACACCAGGGCCAGGATTAATTTTGGTCTATAGTTTTTTTCTAGAGATCAACAAGTCTCTCATTAGGCTGTAGTTCAATCTCCCTCAGTTCAAAGTGTCACCACTTAAACCTACACGTGGCTCTACACCCAACCCAGTTCCTCCTCCCTGTTGCTGAGTTGTCAGAATTCCAGTAAATTGTACATTCAACCTTATCCCCCTCTTAAAAACAGCAAGTTATTATATAATATTTATACAGTCTTCAGGTTCTAGAAGCAACTGGCTTTCTATTTTCTGTTTCCGTGAATTTTATTAGGCATTCATAGAGTGGGGAAATTTGGGCACAACTTTTAATTTGCTAGAAGCAAGGCTAGAGAACTCTAGTACTGTATTTTTTTTAATTATTGCTTGTATTTATTATTAATTCTAACAGAATATAATGTATATTTATTCCATAAAATATATATTATCAGAGTGTATTTGTTATAAACCCAGGTCTTTTCTTACCAAGTGTTATGAGTCTGGTGAGAGAATACTGGTAATGATCTAGCTTCATGACCTGATCTTATGATGTTTATATAGAGAACCCTGCTCTCGGTATTTTTTTTTGTTAGGTTTTATATTTTTAATTGCTAAACTGAAGAAATCTGAATCTCTACCTACATTGACATGCTATCATAGAATTCTATTCATATTTTAAAGCTTAGAATTTATAAAGCTAAATTACAATGTAAGTTCATATATATATAAATATATATGTCACTCAAATTTAGAATCTTTTTTCCAAATATAAATTGGATATTTTTGACAATTTAAGACCAAATGTATTGTTCCTCTTAAAATCAGGCATATGATATTGTGAATGGAAAGATGCTGCTCCTTCTAAAAGGGAAAATATACCTGCTTCATTACATATATTCATGTAGGTAAATAACAATGGCATATCCTTCAGAAAGCCTCACTTACTGGAAAAATTTCTTTGAGAACTACCAATATAATTTGTTACTTTATGTTATGCCAAACTAGGCATGTAGACCCAACTCTAGTCCATAGAATGACTAGAGACAATAATTATTTTGGAATATCTTTGGCACTTAAATACATCGTAAGCAAACACAAGTTCCTGAAATAAAAATAAATTTCCATCCAAAGTATTCTAGATATAGGTCATTAAAGCTGAGGCAAATAATTGTATATTCCCTTTTCTCAAGTGCAGAAGCTTCAGGATACAATAAATTTCACATTTCAGATAGTTTCAAAGTAAAATTTTCTGAACTCATTTTAGGAATTTTCTCCTTAAAAATAATTTAAAACCAGTCTTTGAACTAATATATTTTATTTTTCCCCGTTGGGTGGTATTTTTGTCATTTATTTTCACTTATTTTTTATCACCCAGGTAAAAACAAGCAGTAAGGGCATGAAAAGTTATACCAATTTCAACAAAGACTTGCTGTGGTCAGAGATACCCATCCCTAAAAACATTTTTCAGTAGAGAAAACTTGGGTGGGAAGGTCCTGAATATTACGTAAAATATATTTACAAAAGGGCCAGCACTACTAATGAGTATGAATGGAGATTACATGAGTAGTGTTCAGTTTTAAAAAGATATTTCTCATTTTTATAAGAAAATTTAATAAATTAATGGAACATATATTTTACTTATCATTTTACAAAAAAAAAATCAAAACTATTCCAGTGATTCCACTGATTTTCACAAAGGAAAAACATTGCATCATTGGAATAATAAAACAGCCATTTCAACATATTTCAATTCATTCTATGTTTGGAGCTTAAGGTATATTTTCATTGAATTTAGTTTCCTTGATAATTGTTTTCACTTCAATATAAATATTGTCATGATGTTTCAGAAGCAACTACCCAATGAGCAAGATATCTTATATTTTCTGCAAGTCTTTGTCTTCACATTTATTTTGCATAATTGGTAATAAGTGTCTGCCAAGTTGTTTATCAAAGTTAAGGAACTAGGGATGCATCACACCTAAGTTTCTAATGCAGAATGCATGTTGTCGTATGCCAGGTACAAATGATATTTCAGATGATCAATTTTCTTCAGAAAATTCTTGTTTTCAAAATTTATGCTTTCTCCTCAGGTTTCAATCAAAAGTAATCATCCTTAAAGCATTAAAGGCCCCTTAGGGTTGGTGACCATTTTTTTTAAACCTCTTTCCTGCCTTGATTATTTCTGAAAGTAAATAAAAATAGCATTATTCAGTAAAAGAATGGATACCTGAAACTTTCCATCCGTCATTTACATTTTAAGTCTTTGCCTTTTGAAATAGAGCTTCTTCAGAGAGATAATGAGCTTAAATTACAATTGACTTTGGAAAGAATAATAGACTTTTGTGTTTCCTCAATCATGTAATCAATAGGGAATTCTCTAGTTATGTGAACTACCACTATCTTTTAAGACACTGCTAAGATCTCAATACAAAGTGGAGTGGGGGGGGGGGGTGTTTTTTTAAAAAGAACTCAAGGCTGTTTCTGAAGAACTTGGCTTAGATGAATTACACTAATTTATAAAAACAGTTCTTAAGCATGATAAATCAAACTGATCTAATGTCATTTTATTATAGTCATCTGTGCGAATAGGATTCCAAGACACTGTAATATTTCTTCACATTATTTTAAACATCTATAGGTATCTGTGGATGTGTGTATAATGCCTGAATTTCTCATTGCTTAGCTAGGTATGTTCAGCATACAGACACAGCCAATTAGTAAAACCAGTACTAGACAACAATACAAAGTAGAAATCAATCCTCGAAAGATTCAGGGAGGTAATGTAAGGCAAGATTTCCCAAAACATTGGGTAGAACTACCCTTCTTTTATTCCTTCAAATAAATTCCACAAAGAAAAGGGTTGCTTGTCTTGTAGGCTATTGTTTTCCAGGCATCTGGCATGATGCCCAGCACAATGCAGAGACACAGTATTTGTTGAATGAATGAATGATTGAATAGAGAGATTGACAAATAAATGCTTTCCAATTATTTCAAAAATGTCACCAGCTTATATAATACTAAAATTTCTGAATTTTCATAGAATCAGAAATGACTCTTGATAAATACTTTTTAGATATATGAATTTGAAGTGAATTAATTCAAAGCCTAGAATTTGAGGACATTTAGTTACAAAATAGTATTTAGGGAGTCAGAGTTTTTATAATAACTCAAATTCAAACTTTCTAATTTTTTTTAATTTTTAAGAACTCTTACATTTTTTGGCAAGGCCAATCCAAACATGAAGCTCTTTATAAATTTTATAAAAAGTTAGGTCCTTTTTAAAGACATATCATATCATGTTTATTATTAATAATTCATTTAATATAAAAACTTATGAAATTTGGGGTTTTAAGAGGCAGTCTCCCTAAATCATCTGTTTTAAAAAGTGTGACTCTCGGGCTGGAGAGATAGCACAGTGGGTAGGGCATTTGCATTGCATGCGGCCGACCCGGGTTCGATTCCCAGCATCCCATATGGTCCCCTGAGCACTGCCAGGAGTGACTCCTGAGTGCAGAGCCAGGAGTAACCCCTGTGTGTTGCCTGGTATGACCCAAAAAGCAAAAAACAAAACAAAAGTGTGACTCTTCTGTTTTAAGGAAATATGAAACTTTATTTCTGTCACTAACATATTTATCATGAATATTAATGACACCAGTTTATTTTCATGCCCATACAAAAAGGATCTGCATTTAGCATTATTCCTTCTTTCACACTTGATTCCTCAAATTTGAATTTAAAATTCCCAGCTAGTAAGACATTTCCTTCTTTTTTTAAAAAAAAAAACAAATATTAGTTGCTCTGCTAGTATGGGCAAAGCTTTGGAAATACAATGGCAAACAAGATAAGCAGAGGACACTCAGAGCTTACAGTAAGATACCCTCAACACTTTAGCACTACAGCTTACTGCCATTACTCTTCACATCTGATACAAAAAATAACAATCCTTCATCCCATGGAAATCATAGAAATTCCTTGCCCAGATTTATGTGAGCATGCTTTTCTAAATATGCTTCTCAAACACGCTGCTAAGTTTATCCATATACTATACTTATACTCTACTGAGGTAGAAAAGTAATCATTTTATTTAGTTCTTACTGTGTATAATTGCACTCCATGCTCTCATATTCTATATTATTCAGTACACTTAACAACTCTAATCAGAAGTTAAGAGATAAGAATACTGAAGCTCAGGCATGAAATTTATCCTATATCACACAGGTAGCAGATGGTACTGGGATTTGAATCCATGCAAGATATTACAACAGCTCATGTGTCTAACCATTGTCTGTGGTCTGGGGATACCACTAAAACAGATGAATTACCATATGTAGAAGCATTTTGGCATTATAAAGTAATATAGAGAATCACCATAGTGAATATTACAATCAACAAACCATATCAATGTCAGAAGTAGTGAGAAATCAATCTTATGTTCTATCTTATTCTCATAAAACATTCAAAGCCAGGAACATGAATTAAAGTACATATCCAGAAAGTGTCTGATGTAATAGATATTTTAATGATATTTTAGAATTATTTAATGTTAGCCACTGTGTCTATCTGGTGCTACAAAAAAAAAAAAGAAACAAAACCCCTTGCTGTAAGGGCTTATAATACACAGTGTGGAGATGAACCAGTGATATTTCATGGCTGCGGGAAAGGATTGGGCAATAGTCCTATTTTCTCACCATTGCATGTGACCATGTCTTCTAATTGTTTTCATTATTTTTCTGAAAGAGCTGCGAAATTGTGCAGTGGTTCAACCTGACCAAAGTGGTTATTATGCTGCTGGGAAGTAAAAGTATTATACACCAGACTGGAATTTCTGTCTTCATTATCCAATTATTTTGTTCTTTTAAAGCATGGCTGTATGGTTTTTAGGTATCGAAGGTGCCTGAAAATTTGGATGCCGACATAAAAAAGAAAAGCTGATATTAGTTTAATGTAACCGCAATTTGGTACAGCAATGTCCACACTTCCAGAAGCAAGCAGGAGTGAGGGCCAAAGGGAACAACAAACTCTTCAGCTCCACCTCATTCGCTTGCAAAGAGGAATCATGTATGTCAGCATCAGTTAAATTTATTCTCTCTACATTCCTACCACTTCAAATGATGGTTCATATTGATAAAAGCAAAGTTTCCTCAATTTTTATTACCTCATTCTTTCCTCCTAACCTCTTCTAAATAACATTTTGTAAATTATAGCTTAATTATAGCTTAATTCACCAGTCAGGAAACTGAAATGCCTTATGATCAAAATCTTTTATTAGTAGTTCTCTACCTCCCTCCTAATCAAGATCCATTTGATCTTATTGATGTTACCATTTTCCATACTAGTGCAGATGCCATACAGATGACTTGATTCTTTAGATTTTACTTTACCATCTTCTCTAGCCCTTATGCTTACATGTGCATTAGGACCTTAGTACTTTTTACTAGAAGTAGTGTGAGTTTTTGTATTTGTTATTTTTATTTTGTGCTGCTGTTGTTTGTTTTGTTGTGTGTTTTGGGAGGGAAGGAGAGTTAGGCCACACTCAGCATTGCTCAGGACTTACTCCTTGCTGCACTCAGGAAACACTTTTGGCGAGCTTAGGGAACCCTCTAGGGTGCTGGGGAATCAAATATGGATCCGCCACATGCAAGGCAAGCTAAATGTGCATATCGTGCCCACTTTACCATTAGCCTAGCCCCGGATTGTTGTGTTTTAACTGTTTTCCTAATTACAAGTCTCAATTTTCTTTATTTTTATTTTTGCTGCTAGATAATTCCACCTAAGGTTATTATTTTGATCAAAACCCATCACACCAAAAAATAAGGTTTAGGTCAATGTTAACCAAACAAAACATCATTATAATATCAGGGAAGGAAAACATAGTAACCCTATCTATAAGCGCAAAATGCTGAAACAGGAAGTTAAAATCTGGTTCATGAACTGAATTAAAAATTATAGAGCTTCATGACTAAAAATTATCAAAATTTGGTTTTGTGATGAAGTCAAATACAGATATTTATATGGTGAATCAGTCTACCAGGAATACGTCAGATCTAAAGTATTTGATGTAGTTACATGCACCTATATGCACAAACTAACATACCACCATTAGGAAAATGCTTAGTTTGAAATGTTAAAGAACATTGCTTTTCTAGCCTTATTTACCTTACAGTTTAAGTTTATCTCTACTTACCTAGTACTGAAAAGTGTCCCACATTTTTCCTTCCCTGAGTTGGGAATATTTTTGAAATGCATCATCCTTTTCAACATCAATGATAGAAAAACCAAGTTTTGAAACCTGTTTCAAATGTTCCACTTCAAGAATATTTGTCTGTTTTTTTCCGTACTGATTATATACTGTATGGGCTGGAGCGATAACACAGTGGGTAGGGAGTTTGCCTTGCAAGAGACTGGTTGGCCACCCCGAGTTCAATTCCACAACCCCTCTCAGAGAGCCCAGCAAGCTACCTAGAGCTACTCGTGACATATTTGATATGCCAAACACAGTAACAACAAGTCTCACAATGTTACTGGGCCCGCTCAAGCAAAACAATGAACAATGGGAGGACAGTGCTACTACTCTATAATCAAATCCAATTTTGATATTTGTGTCCCTCAATAGTTCTTTCCTCAGCTTGTTTTATAGCATATCAGCTTCATTTTCCCCACAGTTAGCAATAGCCTATAATATTTCCTAAAGGTAATTATGTTTTAGTTGCCAACAAAGCAAAATGTCTCCTGGATTCTTTGGGGATCTATCTCAGTACTCTTGCTCACCTACAATGTTTCATCTAAGTCGAGAAAGCATAAGACATTATTAAATATAAAATATATTTTAATTATTAAATATTTGGATTTACAAAACTCAAGAATAATCTTTTCTAAATTTTTATGATTTTTTTTCAAGATGGATGTAAAGTAAGAGTTGATCAACTATTTTAGATGACCATCCCTTAGACTTTACTTTTGATTTATCCCTGTATATTTTGCTGTTTAATTCATGGGAGAATTTATAAAGGGTAAATTTTATTTCAAGTTAACCAAAAATGCCAGATAGTTGTGATGCTGTTATTCTGACAAATACTATTTCTATAATTATGTATACTAAAAGTTTCATAATAAAATAATAAAGGTCTTATTGTGCTCCCCATTAGAATATCACCTATTCTTCATTAGTCCTGTATCACTTCCAAGCCCCAAACATCACTATATGGGAAGGAAGGCTGGGAAAATACTACCTCAAAGTTTACAGTTTATAAAGCAAAAGTAACAAAAATGAGAACATTTTAGTCACATATTCATTTTTTTAGCAAAAAATTTTGCCTGAGTGTGACATTCATATACCAAATTCAACACCTATCTTAAATGTATGGACTTAGATTTTTCACACACACACACACACACACACATACACACACCCCTATGATAACAATATTCTAAAGGAAAATTATTTGCATATATGGCCTTCATTAATTAAGTTATAATTATTAGAAACAAATTCAAGCAATATCCTACATAAACAAAACATTGTTCCAAATTGTTCATTTGATACATACTTCCTGGAGGTTTTTTATTAACTACATTGTTTTATGTAAAAAAGTTGTAAATTAAAAGGCAGACTGGCTTCTGTAACTTTTACCAATGGAAAGTGTATACCAGTATCTTTTGTAATAACACTCCAGTATCTCATTAGCTTTGCATATCCAGATTCACCTTTTTTTTGTAAGACACAGAAAGAGTTTTGGTTAATTGTTTTCTCAAAATAATTGCTAATAGTACCCCTTTTAGTTCTCACAAGTGTCCCATTTTAGAAAATACCTTATGTTGCCACCCTATCTAGAAGTGGTAATGCACTGAGATGATCGTTCAAATTAGCTTCACAGGATGATTGGAAGGATGCTTTTCTGTTAAATTAAAGCAAATCAAGATTCTACCTAGTTGCAGGGAAACCAAGATGAGAAACACACTGTTCTACTACAAGAAAGGTTAAGAAAAAAAAGAACTACAAAAGTAACACAAATGGGGAATCAATTGCAGGTGAAACAACATGTTCCAACCATGCAAAATTTTTAATTTTTTTAAAGAGATACCAAGAGAAATAGGAGATGAATAATGAGTAGAGCTAGAAGTGTGGAAGGAGTCTGGGACAACACAGGTAGACATTGGAAGAGGAACCATGCCCCAAGTTTTGACAGAAAATATTATTTTAGTTCTTAATTCTGAAGTTTTCCAATGTAGGGTAATTTCAGCATAAGAGTGCTGTATTTTGTGGTCTGGGAATCAATTGTATAGCAGGCCAGCAGCTCAATCTGTGGTTGGTTGATTCCAGCTAATTGTCCTTAGCTATCTCTTCATGGTTTTATCAGGAGACTAGCTTTGAACTATGTTTATAGCAAACGAAGAAATTCAAGACAGAGAAGAAATCCACGCAAACATTTGAGAATTGGCTTCAAACTAGACTGAAGCAAATCACAAGACGAACCGGAATCAAGAATGGATGGGGGTTGGAAGTAGTCTACTTCCTGGAGGGAAGTTCATTTTAAAGGGCAAGGATACAGAGAAGTTCAAAAATTTGGACAATTTGGACAATTTTACAAGCAGTGCTTTTTCTGAAGTAAGATCATTGGAAAAGTATTTCTGTTAGACAAAGCTATGGGTAATAACTAACATTTATTAAAAGAATGCTGTGTTCCAAGCACTGTTAAGATATATTTAATTCTTGCACTATCTTTTCTACCAGAGAAATACATTATGTACATAAATCTGTCTGTAAATTATTTTTAGAAAAAAAACAGCCTGTTTTAGGTCAGGGATTCCTTCTCAGAAGTCAAATTATTCAGCATATTTGGCCCACATATGTGGTTTCCCAAGTAAAATTTGAAGTTTACAGGATAGTTTTGCAGAGAAAAAGAAATAATACAAGGTGTAGGTAAGTAGATACATAGGTATGGATTTATAGCAATTGGCATACATATTTTGGTGTATTGGTTTTTGGTCAAACTAAGAATGTATATTGCCTGCTATCTCTGAACTAGAAAACCAAGAATATCAGTGGTCTAATAAACTCCCAGTCTCTAGTGAAGCAGAAGTGTCTGTGTCAAAAAATAGAAATGGAGCTTCCAGCTCAAGCAGAGACCAAACCCTGTCCTTTTCCTACTTTTTGTTCTGTACAGGTCCTTGAAAATTTGACTTGGTGCCTAGCTGTCATGGTGAAGATGCTCTTTACTCATGCTACTGATTCAAATGCTAATTCTTTCAGAAACAACCTTGAAGAAACCCCCAGAAATTCATTTTAACAACTCCCACTGCATCTTATAGCCCAGCCACATTAACATAAAATTAATCATAAAAAGTAGTTTTAACTCATTCTTCTCAAACAGACTGCAGTCCACTAAGACATATGTAATCAGTGGTGAGGATTTTTTTTCTTCCTATGGCTAAGGCCTAAAACTGAAATCATAATGTTTTATATATTTTCATAATTTAAAGTGTTGTATACAAAAACTTTAAACATTAACTCTATTATAACCACGTAACCTAACTCACAATAAAATACATTTAAAAATGAAGTGTTGCACATTACAAAACATAATAAAATTGTCCTCTTTCCACAGCACCAAGCCACATGAGAGTGAGAGAGAGAGAGAGAGAGAGAGAGAGAGAGGGAGAGAAAATGGTAGGTTTTAGAGTTTCACATCCATTCCCTTAAAGCACAATCATGTAAGAGGAAAGTTTCAAAATCCCTCAAAGATGTAGGAATCACTCATAAAGATGTAAGACAATATCACCAGAAATGCACAGAAACCCATTCTCTTGTAAGTCGGC